ACTTCTGCTCATTACTATTGTAAAAAAGGAAAAATCTATTAAACAACAACTAATTACTCCCAAATTATAATTATGTTCTCCTAAATTCCACCAAATTACCACCTAAATATTTATGAAGAAAAAAGTTTGAAAAGTTAATAAAAAAATTATATTTCTTCCAAATGCACAGTGCCGTCAACGTGGATCTTCCTGATGTCGTCCAGCCCACTCGATTTTGTGCTCAGGTGGTGGGGATCCTCCTCCACAAGACCACATCTCAATCCCCTCTGCCAATTCTAGCCAGATATGACGCCAGGGACCAGTGTCCGGTAATAAGGCCTACCAAAGCGCGGAGCTTACAACTACTGAGGCCCACTAGCGTTTCTGCCAGCTTTTTCGTCGGCTGTCCGAAAAGGGCTCTTGTGTGGCTAGCGCCAGTTCCATGGCGCCATCTCTTCACAATCCATCTCTCCGCCCGTTTTAGGATGTGCTCTTTGATGTGGTCCAGGTGCACGCCAAGATGGTCCTCCCTCTCTAGCGTGTTGCACCTACTGCCTCTACTCGCTAGCTCATCGGCCTTCAAGTTGCCCAAGATGCCAGCGCGGCTAGGAACACCACCTTCAGCTGATTGTTCTCAACTATTTCCTCCATCAGTCCAATGCATTCGCCTGCCAGCTGCGAGTTGCACACATGCTTGCGCAGTAGCCCAAGCGCACCTCTGCTATCGGAGCAGATGTATATTGTTATAAAAGCTGGTCTCAATGATAGAACAATCAATAGAAATGTTTATTTAATGTTCGCAAATACAAAAATGCTTAGAGTCTATCTTCCATACGACTCGCTCTCCACTGCGCTGGTCTGGCTTGAGGCTGGATTTCCCGAGTTTCTATGCGAGACTTGGTCAAGTAATTGAAAATGTAGTATTAGAATTAATATTCCCAGTAGAATTTACAATTGATCGAAAATTCTACCCTTCGATTTTTCCATTATAGAATTTTACTACCAGTTGAATATTTTTAGAGAAATTTGTGCAAATTGCAACATGGCGGTCAAGTAACATGGCTTCCTCGCAATGCATTCGGGATTCGAAACTCCAAGTAGCCGAAAATTGTTTGGAATGACCCGGAAAAACTTCCTTATCGGTCCTTTGGTCGGTAAAAATACTTGCATGCATTTTATCGACGAAGATGTCGATAATAATCATTCCTGAGGTAGATTTTCGAGAACTGTAATCGATAATGCAGGGCTCGTGAAAGAAAGTAAATATGGTTTTTAACATTTACAAAATGTAGAAGTGCAAAAAAAAGCATTGTTGAACATCTAATCGTCGTTAATGAGTGTCTTCTCTGTTATATTCATAATTATAACAAAACTTTGGCATTCATGTATCAAATAAAATGCATTATCATATAGTGTATAAAAGTTTTAAGCAAATTCGAAATGATTATGAAACTCTATACCCTGGGGAGTAAGGTGCCCCGTATTTACAGGGCAGTTACGGGGCAGTTACGGGGCAGACATGGGGCAGCTATTTACGGGTTTAAAAGGCATAAAAGTTATTAAAAAACAATGTAAGCGTGTATAAATTAATTAAAAGGTGATATTTGCAATGTTAATTTCATGAAAAATGATAAATAAATGATGATA